GTTTAAAATTCCGTTCACTTTGTGGTTCAGGTTTCTTTTGTGTAACTGATTTTCTGTTGTTGTACCTCCATATATCTCATTCTCATGACCTCTCTTGAACACCCGCAGAGAATTTCTTGAAATTTTGCACATATATTCTCTTGCACTCAGTGATAAACTAATTAGAATTTGGCAGTCTGAAGTCACTGTGATCTTTTGCACTCATGGTGTCTGCTAAGATAAAGTAATTACATTTAATATCCAAAAGATCAAAGGCCAACTCTGTAATGTACTGCAGAAACATTTTTCTGGTGTTAATTCAGTGCCGTCACTCAGGAGCAGGAGGAGAGATGGATGCAAACTGCTGTCTGATTAGTTGGTGGAGGTCTACATTTATATTCCATTTTATTCCACAGTGAACTGAATGTCTTTGGGTTTGGGACTCTTTGTTGGGCAAAAATAAAAATTTAAAGACTGATTTTTTCCCCCCCATTATTTTCTTCTTATTTTTTTAAGCTAATTGGACAGCCAAAGTTGTGTCTTTGAGGCCCATATACTTTTATTTAGAGTGAGATGCAAATTTTTCCCTTGCGTCCAATCAGTTGGTCGGTGCCATTTCAGTCCACCGAGGTTTTCTTTGGTTCAGTGCAGCTCTGCTCACTCTGTGGCTGCTACGACTGTCAGTATGGCTGTTCAAATCCTACAGGGATGCTGACTGTAACATACAGTCCCTGGATGATGTTCTAAATATATAACTTCCATCCCTCTATACCCTTCCCCCTTTTATTTTCTTGTTTCTTCATTCTAACCCCCATCTTGGCCCTCTCGGCTCCTCTTAAACTCATTCATGTGTGTGCAAGCATGCATGTGGACTTACCATATATATATGTAATATTAATGCCCCGAGGGCAGAAAAAAAAATGTCGCTTTTGTCAGCTGTTGTGTGCCAAGGCTGTTTAAAGCCCACATTGCACCATGAAGTAAAAAATAAGAAGAAAATGCATGGGAGCAAGATCAAAAAATGCTGGCTTTGCGGTGCTGGAGTATGTTATGTGATGCCAAACTGGCCTCTCTTTAAACTCTAAATGTGAAGAGGAAGGATGTCCGTGCAGGAGAGACAATGAAAAGCCCAAAGTAAAAACCAGACAGTCGCTCGTCCTCTCCTTTCCAGTTCCACTAGCTTTGCTTTGTCCTTCTCTGTTTTCAATTTAGTTTCTCTGCATTTCAGCCGACGGAAAGATTTATCTGCATTGAGGTTTTTTTTTCTCTGGCTGACAGTGAGCCTTCAGAGGGTTGAACGATCATGACAGTGAACATGATTAGTCTGTGCATGTGCACAGTGAAGGCAGTGAGTCTGTGCTACTGTGTTTGACAGAAATCTTCCTCTTCCTGTTATGAAAAAAAACATATACCCACCCGCCACCACCCCCAAATATTCGTGATATTCGTCATTAATTATATCCGGAGCACAGAGATGGCTTTTCGGACCACCCCTAATGTCCATTATGCTTCAGTAAATGAAACCCCAGTGAACCTTCTGCTCTGCTCCATTTTTACTTGTAAGTTGTGATTCTACAATTCAAAACAAGACACTTGTCATCTTGTGATTTTGGAGCCACTAATCAACATTTTTGATCATTTCCTAAGATTCCTCTATGCAAGAAAAACTCTTGGCCTTTCTATATGCATGTTAAGTCAGCCCCTACTGCTCTGTCATTGTATAAACCATCTCAGGTGCATTACAGCCCTGCAGCGCTAAGGCAGACTGCTGTTTGTGTTGAATAACATTTACATTTTGTCTCTGCTTCTTGGTCATGTGGGTGAAGTTTACGCACCACAATGTTTGGTTCTTAAAAGACTGAGACGTTAAATCTAGTGAACTGGAAAGAGCATTTAGTAAGCCTTAGTGATTATTTCAAGGAAGATTACTGTTTTCCCAATCGCTTCTTTCAGTGCTGCGGATCACATATGAGTGCTGGAGATGAATTCCCTTCCGGTGGGATTAGCCAGTCTTGATGACATGATCTTTATAAACCATATCTATAATCTATAGGGTTATTATAGGAGGCAGACCAACGGAGAGGTCAATCTCCCATCTGCTCACTGTTCTACAGATGAAAATCATCTGAAGCGGCCGGCAGAGGCTTTCCTCTTCGTTTGATCTACATCCCCTCAGAGAAAAACCTTTTATTGTCCTTGAGTTGAAAATCCACACAGTCAGCTGTCGAAGTAAAACACAAGAAATGCATAAATGCTGCAGCTACAGCATGAGTTTGTCAGATATCATCAGTATGTTTGTGTAGTTGATCAAGTAGGCCGTGTGTTTTGCATTTAAGCTCTATTCACCATGTTCACAGAGGAGACATGGGACGGTGTTGATGCTGTGAGATTTGTTTATGATCTGTGTGATTATAAGGGCTCAGCTAATGATTATTTTTGTTCACGATAAACCCTCAGTAACAAAATGGTTGCCTGTTAGCAAACTAAATATTTATAGTGTGTGGAGCCTTCTCCATTTTTCTCCAGTGTTGGTTACACATGTGGGCACTTGGAAAAATGTTGTACATGTTGTTTCCAGGCTATCTTAAATTTTAGTAAAAATAAAAAATCTAAGAAATTCAATTCAGGTTTTCTCTCGTTCTATTCATGGGTGTGCTGTTTCCATAGAAGTGCGGGACTTCATATTGCAGTGAAAAATTAGTCTCGTCTGCACACCAGAGTGCTCATTATGCATTGTGTTCCCCCGAGTGATTAGCATGACATGCTCTAAGTGCTGAAGATGTCAACACAATGCTGGTGATTCGGTCGGGATAAACTGAAGAGGCATTAAAGCTGCAGCTTGATGGGCTTTCATTGATATCTGACTTCTTTTGAAATCATTCTTTATAGCCAGCCAAACTAATAAAAGGAAAAACGTTTCTGCCTGCAGATGTTGTGCATCTTTGACTGAAAGCATTTGTTAGAAGAGATGTCACAATGCCAGAAATTTGACAACAATCCCCCCCAAAAAAGACAAATTCATGTTTTTTGGTGTATGCTGTTATTTAAAAACTGAACAGTAATGACAGCAGCCTGCTAATGTTAAGAGCAACATCCAAGTCACATTATGAGCTATCGCTACTAAATAATGTGGTGGAGCAATGCTACTTGGGGTGATAATGATTTATCATTGATTGATTAATTGCTGTTGTTAATTAAAATATTACAAATATATTAGTAAGTTAGGAGAAGAACATGTATGTCAGAAATGTGTTGTAGATTAACTGTAGCACCTGGTTGTTCCACAAAGTGCCGCCTCTTGTTAATTAAGAGGCTGTAGACTGTAGTTTGTTCGTGGTGGTCACTGTGACTACAAGCAGCTCATTTTGACAACCAGAGAGCATTGTGGGGGTTAAGCTAGCTACAGGCCACCACAACAACGTCTTCTGCGGTGGTTAATGACTTCTGGGCAAATCTCACATCGACTACCTGACTAGGACAGCATTTTCATGGCTGGGTGGCGAATGTAACTTGGCTGCTTTTGGAGCAAGTGTCCATGGTTAAAAGTGACTGTTTTAAAAAATAGAGTGGCATGCTCTCTACATCATTTATTTTTAACAATTATTTGAATATTAGTTGACATAACTGCTGACTATTGGTTAAGAAAACTGCTTGAAGTTTGTGTCTGTAATTGTGACAGCAAATGCAGTTTACCAACAAGAACATGTCAAGATGAGAATATTTTGACATGTTTTAAAAGAGCCCATATTCTGCACGTTTATGGTTCATAACTATATAATTGGTGTCTACCAGCTTTACAAGCTTTAAAACTAGGGTAGAGGGCTTTTTTTTTTTTTTGGTCATTAGGCAAAAATTCCATACTATGCTAAGAGCATTTTAAATCAGGCAAATAAATCAATTCCTGTTTTTGTGCTTCACAAAATCTAATCTGTGATGGATACTTCACAGGTCTTCTCACCAAGAGCTGGTGAGACACTGTAAAGAGCAGCAAAGTGAAGAACTGAAAGTCTCTTGTCTTAAATTCTGCATACAGGTCTGGACATCTGTTGCTACAGACAAGTTTGGACACAAAAAAAAAAAAGTTAAATATTTGTATTTTTTTCTGTGTAACACCTTTGACACTTGTTTCCAGGCATTTTCCAAGTTTTGTAAAATAAATAATCCAACTATTTTATGGTGCTACAGTTATATCATACTTCACCAAAGACATTTCTGAGTTCTCTCTACATTCAGCCATGGTTGTGTTGTTTCCACAAAGGTGCAGGACTTTATATTATAGTGAAAAACGAGCCCACAGTGAGGCAAAAATGTGACAGGAGCTAACAACACTCAGAAACTGCTCGGAGTTCAGAGTTAAACATGAAGACATGGCTGTTGTTGTTCTGTTTGCATACCTTTCATTCACTATTAGAGGTTTTTTTTAAAAAAAAACAACAAATTTTGAAGTGTAAGCTGTAAAATCAGTATTGGTACAGTGGAAGGTGTAGGTGAGGGGCTGCGCCCGCTGTTTAAAACTATTGTTTTTCAGTCAGTCTCTCTCTAGCAGTCTTGTAGCATTCAGAGGGATTAGGATTAGCGGTCTGGCTACTTTAACAAGCACTAATTGATTTGCAGCTAAGGATGTGTTGGATACTGCAGCAGACAGCAGCAGAGCTCGGGGTTACACGAGGTCGGGAAGCACAACATTGCAGCAGCCTGCAGCAGCGTTGAAAGTTTTGGCCACACTGCGGTGTGTGACTTCCCGTCTGCCATCCGCTGTGGGCAGCACGCCTCTCTTTGGGGAGGCCTCTGCTCTGGAGGCCACGCTGGGCCTGATTAGTCAGGGCTGTCCAGCTCTGCTGTTGGCTCTCATGTAAACAAACACAATCCATTTGTTTGGCCTGCACTGTACACAATAGGTCATTGTTTACATAGGAAAAAACACAGCACTGTAAGCACAAAATCGCTGATTTCAACAGTTTCAGCCGAAGAGCGTCAGCCAGCCTAACTGCCCCCCCTTCCTCCTCTGTGTTGTCTTTCAGAGCCCTGCTGGTCCAGTTCTCGTCCATCCACTGGCTGTCGAGCTGCTCCAAGAGTCTCCGAGCTGTGGATTGCATCATGATGGGACAATAGTGGTGGGAATCAAAGCTAGCCCTCCTCCTCTTTCTCCACCTCCTCCCCCATTTCTTTTTCTCTCACAGAAACCCTCCCCCCTAACAAATACACAAACCCTGACCACTCCTCCCACGCTGGTCATGCTCCACTCCCCCCGTCGCTCCAGCCAGTCAGGCAGAGAGTCGATGGAGACTGTGTAATCCTCTGTAAAGTAAAGGCCCTCTACGGCTGCATATGCTCCCTTTTGTCATGGCGGCTGTTGTTGTTGCAGAGGCCTCCCTCAGGAGAGAGCATGAGGGAGAACAGGAGGCAGCGTAAAGCTCACAAAGGAAGGACGAGAGAGCGAGAGAGGCTGCCGTTTGTTTGACCGCAGGAGAATGAGCTTCACGTGGCAGCCGCTGGAATTCAGTGGAGGTGAAACTACATGATGTGGCATCATCACCCCTTGCTGAACACACATCGGACCAACAGTCAAGTCTGGAGATATTTGCCACCTGCTGACCAGCAGCAAGGAATGCAGTAAAGCACACAAGTTGACAAGACTTTTTTTTTTTTTTTCTTGTGTAGAATATTTTTCTAACTTACCTTTTCTTGGTGATCTTTTCAGTCACAGCCTACCAAAAGTGCCTTTTTTTCTATGTTTTTTCTTTTTTTTCAAAACCCATTTTGCTCCACATTCACAGATTATTAACTTGACAAACACATTGTGGATCTCTGTTTATCTGACTGTGTGTGTGTGGGTAGTATCAGCCACGACACCAGCCTGCATTAGACTTGACAATCATCAGCTGCATGAGGAGTGTTCACTGAACCCCAGCAGAATATCATTAAGGGTTCAGGCTGCTCCACATCACTGCCTCCGCCGGACCGCTCCTGTTCTGACAACGCTGCGCCGTCGCCATGGTGAGCATCCAGTCCAAATGGCGCTACCTCTTCATGTTCCTGGGCATCCAGCTGGTGGTCATGGCGCTGCTGTCCCGAGAGGGCTACCAGAAGAGGGTCACCTACTTCATCCGAATCTTCCGCAAACCCGACGCATCAGGTTTCTCGGGCCGCAACCACTCGGCAGCCGGCATCAACGGAGGGGATGTGTACGCCAACCTCTCCCATCTTTCCAAAGCTCACATCCATGCAGATGAGATGCCCTACTGCCCCAAGAAGTCCCCTTTTGTCAGTGAGTGATCTTTTTTTTTCCTTTCTACTCGTGTGTCATTTATTTTATGAATTATTACTGCAGGAAGGTGCAAGGTAGCAACAACATCTACAGGTATGGGCTGGCAATCAACACCTTCAGCCTCTCTGTTTCCGATACAGCGTCCAGTCCAACAGTTTGGACCGCTATGCTAACTCCAAATGACCCAAAAGAGCAACAGTTAGTAGTTACTAGACGCAACTCCAGTTTTATATAGGAAATGGATCAATTTACATTTGTTATGTTAGCTTATATGGTGATTTTTAGGTTCCTGATTGTGATGTTAGAGAGGAGAAGACTGGACGAAGACACTGAAAGAGCAAAAAAGTGCTGCCCTCTGCAAGTTTAACCCTGACTCCCAAACCCCACTGAGTAGTTTTCAAAGGCATGTTGTCTTTAAAATTTGAACCATTAATCAGCCAAAAACTGTTAAAACAGAAAGAATCAGCGGTTTTCAAAGACACTTAGAATAGTTATATTCTAAGTGTCTTATTTAAAAATTTGCCAAAAGTAAACCATTTGTTCTAGACAGATCCTGTAAAAAAAAAAAAAGGAAGTTGAAAATTCTAAGCTACTTTGAGAACCCTTGAAGCCATAACTGACTCAGCTGTGACCAAATGGGTCTGTAACGCTTACTTAGAAATATGAATAAGAAATGCATTTGCTTTTCTTTTCCAACTGCAGTGGGTTTGTGTTGTGAGATTAACCCTCTGAATCCCAGAAACCCATTATACTTTCAAAAAAGAAAATTGCCAAAAATACACCATTTATCAGAACAAGACAATGTTTAAACAGTCATAATAGTCCCATTTTTTATTTTCTGTCAGTCCTCGAACTAACCGTGAGCAATGTTTGGTTTGGTCAGAAAAAAACAAAACAAACAAATCTCGCTTAAAATTGGGATACATTGGGACTTAGCTGTGACCACCAGTCACATTACAAAAATTCAGGGACTTCTCGACTGAAGTGCAGGTTGTGTTTACACAGAGCAAAAAGGTAATGAGTATGGACACAAATTAAAAAAGTAAGTAGAAAAATATCTATAGTATGTAGAGCCACCATTTTTTTTCATGGTTGGTAACACATGTGGACCTGTGTAAAATTTGTATATGTTGATTACAGTTTTTTCCCCCCCATTTTTGTATTAATATATAATAGTAATAATAAGATGAAGAATACTTATTATTATTGTTATTATATATAATACTTATATAACGCTTTTCAAAACACTTTACAAGACGCTTTACAAAGTAGTAGGCGAGAAGTTACCGTAATATTCACATTTGAAGAAATTCTGCCTGTTTTTCATCATCTCTTTATCCTGCATGTTTTATTTGATAATGTGCCCAAATTAAAGCGTTGGAATCAGATTCTTTTAAAAAGAAATTGGTTTAACTGAGTTTTCAGGTGATCTGCAGGTAGTGTTTCCACAGAGCAGAGGGGTAACAACAAGAGAGATGGAAGAAAATTAAACATACTGGAATATTATTAATCAAATAAATGCAGCGTGGCAAATTGTTGGAAGTTACATTTAGCATGGTGAAACATCACAACGCACAAAGATTTAGGACATCCCAAACAAACTTATTGTCTTCACCGTGCAGCTGAAGGTAGATATGTCTTTCCTCCATGTATCTGTCTGAATACAACATAGATCACTGTGGTGCAATAATGAATCGACTGATCCTGATAGTGGTTTTATCTACTTGGACTGTTAGCGGAGCATTTTAAATGTCGTGTCACAGTTGATTGTGTTCTTTTAAAGTCATTCATTTCAACACTTGGTGGACTATCAGTTGAAGAAATCATTTAAAAATTGTGGCCATGATCTGTCGCTCCATCTGCAGCTGAAAACTGTCAAACATTATTGGAGGAAATACAGTCTCCCTCAGTGTTTTCAGGCTGTCACACTCTTGTTACTCATTACCTAAACACTGCCTAATGGTCACTGTGAATTGGGATCTGCCATCCTTTAATCTCAAATTTCTGCCCATAAATTCAAACTAGATCCTGATGGTTGAGCGACAAAGCATCGACTGCTTTTTCCGACAGGTGTCCGGGTGTTCGCGACCACAAAGCCCTTGGCGGTTCTCTGAAACAGGTTTGAAGCCGCTCATATTCTGAAACAGTCTAAACAGGTCGGGGTGGAATGTCAGAGCCACATTTTTTTAGGGTGGTTGAATTTTTCCATCATGACAAAATCCTGGAACAGGTTGCTTCACCTGCATTGTCATCAAACACCTGAGGACTCAACCAGCAAATATTTATGCCATGTGGGTTTTTTCTAAATTAACAACTGCACTTATAAAATGTTTTCCTCCACACACAAGAATTCCCAGAGCTGGTACTGGTTCATCCAGTTTTGTGCTGCTTTTTATTTTCCAGGAACAAGTTCTGACGTGGAGCTGTATCCAACAGTGATACACCATCAGTTATCTGTTTTTATGATTATAACGTCTATAAAACATGTGTCATTATTAAGGGTAATCAGATTATTTGTTTGTTGGAACCAAATTCTATAAATTTAGATTCTATTTTCCACACATAGTCACTTTGTCAGAGCTGGTATTGGTCTAAACACATCCAGCTTTGTGTCAGTATCAATATTTTTCTTTTCAGGAACATGTTCTGTTCGTTGGCTTTTTCTTTTTTGTTCTTTTTTTCTTTCTTTTTAAAAAATTTTTATTTGCTAGATAACTTTATTGTTCCCTTAAGGGAAATTGTAGTGTTGCAACAACAATTTACATTTTCACAAACTTGCATAAAAAAACACTACTTTAAAAAAAAAAAAAAAATCAATAAAAAATAAGTTAAATGGAATAAACAACAGATGTAGAATATGATAAGACAGACCTGTTACAGTGCAAAATAAGGTGCTGATTTTCTACATGTTGGACACTTTGATCATTATCTTAAAGTCAGAGTTGGTAAAAGATAATGTACTTTTTGTGTACAAAAAATAAACACACACAAATGAACTTTGTCAGAGCTGGTACTGGTCCAAACACATCCAGCTTTGTGTCAGAATTTAAATTTTTCTTTCCTGGAATAAGTTCTGACCAGGCTGCAGCCAGAAGTCATTTACACCATCAGTTAGTTGACTTTTTTGAGTTGATAACTTTATTGATTATGAATTTACATATTCACCAGACACTGGTTTTATACTTGTTGCTACCTCAAAGTCAGATCCATCAGAGGTCTCACTGTTGAAAATGTGTACCAACGGGCCGCCACTTTAGCTCACCTGGTTGAGCTGGTGACCCATGTACAGGGGCTATAGTCTCTGATGCAGCAGCCATGGGTTTGAATCCCACTCATGGCCTTTCGCTGCAACCCCCCTTTCCCCTATTCTCCTCTCCTGCTTTCCTGTCTCTCTTTCAACTGTCCTATCCAACAAAGGCAAAAAGGCCAAAAAAATTACACACACAAAAAAGAAAATGTGTACAGACTGTGATCCAAGCTACTATAACTGAAATGTGTCTGTTGTCTTATTTGTAGACATGTATACAAATGTTTTTTTTTTTTTTCAACACACGTGAACTCTGACCGATCTGGTACTGGTCCGCCCGGCTTTGTGCCAGAATTTTCTCTCCAGTAGCAATTTTACTTCCTCATGATGCTGCATTCAAATCACTGCCTCTCATTCCCTGACCGCCTCATTTGCCTAGACTCCATTAAGCATGCTGCTTCCTGACTGTAATGATTTGTGTCCACAGGGGGGCCGATCCATGTCAGCTTCCCGTCAGGGCTCACACTGGCGCAGGTTCAGAAGAAGAACCCCCTGGTGGTGCGTGGAGGACGCTACAGGCCGCCCGACTGCGAGGCGAGGCACCGAACCGCCATCATCATCCCCCACCGGCACCGAGAACACCACCTAAAGTTCCTGCTCTACTACCTGCATCCTTTCCTGCAGCGGCAGCAGCTCAGCTATGGAATCTACGTCATCCACCAGGTAAAACTGCACCTCCAGTCTCACTGTGAAGGAGGGTTCACAGAGCCTCTGATGGACGTATTTCACTGTTTTAGGTTAATCATCTAATCCTTGGGCAGTTTCTGGGTGTTTTATATTTTTATTCTCCTGTCATTTTTTTCCTTTTCACTACAACATAAAGACATTATATAGTCCAAACAACTAATTTAGAAACAAATGATTACTCAATACTGAATAATTCTAGTAGGTGTTGCTATTTTGTTTGAAAATGAACCATTATTTGCTTTTCCATCTAAGCTATTTCACAACTCACATTTGTGTACATCTGACTAAAGACAATTGATATTAGCTTTGTTAAAAACTAATTGTCATTTTGGAGAGCTCCAGCTATTAAATCAATTAGCTGTTGACGATTAAAGTTATTTGCAACTGTTTTGATTATAAATCGGTTGGAGTCATTTTTTAAAGAAAAAAAATCATCTAACTTCTGTGTTTCTAGCTTCTTAAATGTTAATATTTTCTGGTTTCTTTCCTCCTCTATGACAGTAAACTGACAAAACAAGACATTTGTGGAAACAGACTGAAATTTTTCACCAATTTCTGATGTTTTCTGATGAAACAAGGAACCAAATAATTATGTGAATAATCGACAGATTAACCCTCTTGAGTGTTTTTTTTTTGTTTATTAATCTCCTGTCACATTTTTCTTCACCGTGGGCTCATTTTTCATTGTAGTATAAAGAGATTTTATAGTTCAAACAACTAATTGAGAAAATATTCAACAGATGATTGTTTCTCTGAACCCCAACTGGTTTTGTTGTGATTTTCCTGTCTGACTACTACATTTCTGAATAACTCAAACACCAAATAGTCATTTTTGCAAGAGACAGATGAAGCATAGTTGGCGAGCTTTAGTCCACTTGTAGTTTTCTTTACCACACAGAGCAGCCAACAGCAAACTGAACTCAGAGTTGACTGCAGTTGCCACAGAAATCATCAACTCAAATAAGATTCTTTACTGTCCCAGAGATACGTCCTACGTCTCCCCAAAGTTTGATTATCTTCTGTTTCTCTTCTCCTGTCATGAGCTCCATCACCACACTGTGTTTGATCATCTTTGCAGGCTTTCCTTTACTTTGGAACCCCATGCAATCTTTGTTTTCACTACATATTGCGATTTGAACATTGAGGCCAACAGACTCCGACCAAGTGAACAGAACGTCCTTATCAAAACTTCTTTTCAGACTTCACGTACTGGTAGTTTATTTATGAGATCTAACTGACCTATGTCGTGTGTTGCATTTTCTTATATGCATATACTATCAGTACAGTGTTTTAGTTTGGTTTTCACTCTCCCAAATAACTACAATCATTATGTATGTAGTAAATGCGTACATGGTGAAATTGGCCTGCTTAGACTTAGACTACATTATATTTTCCCACAGTTTCCAGTCATTTGGTTTTTGTTTCCTTGAAATCTCCAGTCACATTTTGTCTCACTGTGGACTCTTTTTTTTTTCACTGTAATATAAAATCCTGCACCTCTATGGAAACAGCACAGCCATGGCTAGAAGGACAGAGAACTCAGAAATAATGTATGTGCAGTGTGACACAGTTAGAATGACAGAAATCAAAATAAAAAGAACAACCGTTGAATTTCGTTGATTGTTTTCCAAAAGTTAAAAAACTGGCATCAGCCTTTTTCAAATGTCCATATCTGCTACGAACATGGGCGAAAAAAATGGAGGCTCCACATTCTACAGATATTTGACATTTTGGATTTTTACAGCCACTACAAACCTTTTCACACTGCACATCAACTGTAGAAAGATGTTTCACCATGCAGAATGTATCTTCCAACAACTTGCCATGCTGCAATTGTTTTATTGATGCAGAATGTTGTAACTTCCTCTCGTCTCCTCTCTGCTCTGTGGAAACACTGCCTGCAGTTCACCTAAAGACTCGCTGAATTTTTCACCGCTGGTCACAGCTCAGTCAGTCATGGCCAATCAGTTAAACCAAGTAACTCAAGTAATTTTTTCCAGGATCTTGTTTGTTTTTTGGCAGATTTTTAAATGAATCGTAGAGCAAAGTGATTTAATGAAATATCATCATTTTAAGCTCAGATTTGGTTAATTTTTCCAGATAGGCATGTATGATAGGTGCACAAGCTGAAAATTCTGTGATTCTTTCTGTTTTTAGTTTCTGGCTGATAAATGGTTTCATTATTGTAATGTTTTTTGTTTTGCTTTTTGTAAAGAAAACATTCATTTTAAACCTATTGGCAGGTTTTGTGGTTCATAGGGGTTAAAGTGTATTTATCATTTGGTTTTTGTTGCACATTTAGTCCAGTTAATTCATATTTGGTGTCTACTACAGCTGATGCTGGATGAAGAGCGCCCTCCAGTGCATGGTCACTGCATGCGCATGTTGGAAGATAAAGAGTCTCCGGCCGCTCACAGGGTTTAATCTCTCTCGCTGCTCATTCATGTTTACTCCTCAGCGCTTTATCTCTGTCACACTGTTGAATCTTGCTTTTTATGTTTTGTTTCAAATATAATACAATGATCTTTATCAGCATCTGGTAGAATAGTTTCACGTGGATGTATCTGATGCAAAATAAGACATGAAATTTGTTTTTCTTAATTTAACGTGAATCAGTGTCAGATAATTCTTTTAGACCTTTTATTGTGCACGTGTTAATTTGTGTATTTTTCATCGTTGCCTTTACGTTAAAATGACCTCCTGTGCATGTGGCTAAAATGGCTAAAGTTCATAAATTCAAATTACAGCTTTATTTTGTTGTTCTTTATTAAAAGTAGGTCATTAAAAATGTCAATATTTATTACTATACAGACTGAAATGAAACATTTTATCAGGATACATTTTCAGCTGTGTCGCCCAGGCCTGCTTTAATCAGCAAACATTTGTTTCCATTTTGTGCTGCATCGTACACTGACAGTCAAAATGACGTGAACTTAAGTAAAAGGGTGTTTTTGCTATAATATATTGTGAAATCTGACACAGTTTTCTTGCCAAAAATTTAAATAAAAGCACCAATGATTTCTGATGTCCTTGAAGTCAGAAAATGTGCTCCAGTTTGACTTTCCTGAAGACACGTTCTGATGTTCATAGAAATAGAAAATTACTTATTATGCTCATTCTGGTATGATAAGGTCACTGCGTATTAACTAGTGGATGGTTTATGAGGATGTTATCAAGAAATAAAGATGAAATTTGACTCAATTTACAGAGAAAATGGAGACATTGAGTACAATCCAACATACAAAAAGAGCGCCATTTCTGATACAACTGTTATATTAGTAATATTTACTTGTAACACTAATTTCTGTACAATTTTACAGATTAATTCAACACAGCTTCTTGACTTTTATCGAAATGATCTGCGTTTTACTTTCTTATTCACGCACAGTTATGTAAAGTTTAAATGTTTTTGGTTGTATTCACTTTGACACTGACTGTGTGCTTGCTTTGCAGGCTGGAAATTACACTTTCAACAGAGCCAAGTTGATGAATGTTGGTTTCCGGGAGGCGATGAGGGAGGAAGACTGGGACTGCCTTTTCTTCCATGACGTGGACCTCATACCGGAGGACGATCGCAACACATACGTGTGCGACGCCAACCCAAAGCACGCAGCCATTGCCATGGACAAGTTTGGCTATAAGTACGTTTTTCGATTGAAAGGTTTGTGGTTCGGAGGCAGAAATACTTTTATGAAATACTTACCAGATGTTTTGTGATCTCAATTGTGTCCAGGCTTCCGTACAAGATGTACTTCGGAGGAGTGTCAGCTCTGTCGCCACTGCACTACCTCAAAATGAACGGCTTCCCCAACAACTACTGGGGCTGGGGCGGAGAGGACGACGATATTGGAATCAGGTGAGAAAACTTTTCCAGTGTCCGAGTTCTGTTTGATTGATGACAGAATCCTTCATTTCTGGTGGAAAAGGGTGAACACTGATCGTATACTCCTGAAAAATTACAGGATTTTTTATCTACATGACTTGAATAACTCCATATGGCAAGATCTAATCATTCTGTGCATCTACACTAAAAATAAAAATGATACCTTTTTTTTAAAAGCTGAAAAAGCAGTTCTGAGCCTTTCTCACATGGTGTAACACTGACAAAGGCTTCCAAAATAGCTGTTTACTTTGGATGACATCAAGATCTGGATACAGAGCTTTGTGCTGCTGATTTTAACCGTCAGACTAATTAGTTGTGTTGCCTCGTGTGGTGCCAGCAACTGCAAGACAGAGTTCCTGCTTTTTATCAACATCATCCAATCTGGAGATGAAATATTTCCAAATAGATGATTTCTCTTTGGAACCGAATCCTCCTCTTTTTTTTTTTTTTTTTGTAATGTTTTTCTCCTTTCCTTCGCTCATTGTGTTGTGCCAAAGTGGAGCCTTCATGTCAACAAACTTTGTCTTTAAATATTATCCATATCCAACAAGCCTTAAATCAGAATAAATTCTGTTTTATTAGACGGTCTTCTCCTGACGGTCTTCATGGAAAATGAGAACTGTGCGAGTTACTTCACATTGCTTTTCCAGTGATGGGACTACTGATCTGTGACCGTTAATGCTCGCAGTTGTTTAACACACACCACAGTCTCTTAATTTTTTTCATTAAGCATTGTATTGTGAACATAAAGTGCTGTAACTTAGACTTTAAAATGGAAAAAAAAAGCCCATTTACAACTCCGTTATCAACAAAGTAAAGGTTGTACCACGTTGAAGGTCCCATGTGGTAAAAAGACATTTTTATTGTGTGCAGTACGTTTTCCAAATTTGGAGATACAAACTAAAAACTGTGAGACTGTGAAGAGGCTTGCTGTGCCATTACTCTATATTTTTCTGTCTGTTGTCAAACAGCAGAACGAGAGTAAAAGTGTGACATGCTAACCAGCAGTCACCTCATTTCCAAGCTGCTCATCTGCAGCTACATACTGTTTAATAATGTCGTCAGACAGAAAGTCCTGCTCTCATACTCCTTCATGTCTGTGTCGGCTGCTGTGGTCAACTGTTCCCCTCTGGGTTCTCACAGACACAGAGAGAGTCTTCTTCCTGAAGGGGGGGGACAGCAGTGTCAGCTGCATCTAAAGTTACAGATGCTACAACTACAAAGCTGCGCTCTCCTTTTAGTGAGTGTGTTTGACCCTGTTTGGTGTTTTCACAGACTCAAACTTGTCTCTTGTGTTCTCAGAGTGTCTCTGGCGGGGATGTACATCAGCCGTCCATCACTGAAGGTGGGCCGTTACAAGATGATTAAACACAAGCTGGACAAAGGCAACGATGTGAACCCAAAGAGGTACAGTAAACAAAGTGTTGTTCTCAGTTTATAGTGTGTTAGAATGCTCAGGAATGTAACTGAAAATACCAGGAGCATTTGGAATGCAATAGAACCCGCATATCTCAAAAAACTTTGACATTTTAATATACCATTTTATTTACAAATGCAAAAATATCCATTCCTATAATCATTTGGCATTTGTTTTTGTCAATTACAGCACAATAAACTAGGAATGCTGTGATCAAGCTTTTTTTTTAATGACCCCTATCTGAGTCATTTAATATCTACTATCTGCTGAACACTCGGTCCAAATCTCATACCATTTCCTCAGATAATACACAGAAGTGTCTCCTCTAGGACTTTTTTCAGCAGCGGGGGCAGGCTCTCCGGGAGCTGTGGCGGCAGAAACAAATGATACTCTTGACTGCAGATTTTACTTTTACAATCTATTTATTGAATGGCCAGTTAAAAAAGGCTTTTTAAAGGCTGAATGTAAAAATTAAAACAAATAAAAATAAAACAATAAAATTAAATAAATAAAAATGAAAACAATAAATAACAATTTCTTGATGGGCTGTAGAATCAGTGGCAAAGTTTGCATCCAGGCTCAGTACAATTAATTTTTCTGGGTTTTTTATAAAAGAGCTCTAAGGCTCTGTTGTAGGGAAATTCTCTGAGAGGCTCAGCAGCATACATGATGCAAGCTGATCCCCGGCAGCCTGTTTCTCAAGTCAGTCTTCACCTACAAATAGAAACAATGAGATTGTTTCACTCAATTTCCTACACCCTAATCATTTAAAATTGGTTCTGGTTTGTGTCTGATGATATATTATTAAATGTCTGCTGCTGTCCACTGCTCCTCCCTGTCTAATGTTACTGGTCTTATACGATTACACAAAACATTAACGTTACATCATTTACACTCACATCACATCTCATTGAGGTGTGAACACTATTTTTTACCTGACCATCATCATTTATGAGTCAGTAAAAGACTAATGATACCTGACTAGCATCATCTTCAGAATAGAATAGAACTTTATTGATCCCTTTGGTAGAAACCTCATGACGTGTCTTTCTCTTCTTAGAGAAATATTTGAAGAAGCTCATCTGAAGATGCAGTCAGCAGTTCTATCATGGCGTGTAGATGCTAGCTTAATGCTATTAGTTAGTTTACTCACGTTAGCGACACTGAGTTGGCACCGGGCCCAATTAACTTAAGATACTGATATGTTATGTAACATTGGCTGGCCATCAATATTTTGCGAATGTCTATTTGACTTGTAAAATCTATTATGAGCTATCTTAAACTAATCAGTGTACCTTTCCTCCGGTAAGTCGCTGCCCTATTCTCCAAGACGACCCTCCTCTGACCCTCTGACCTGGAGCATGGTGCTGGATGTGATGTCACTTTCAAGGCCGTGCTCTCGCGAGTAAATAACGTCGCATTAACCCCCAAAAGAGTAGATACTGAGCAAGATAGTTATCCGTAGTTTACCTTAGTACTCGCCAGTAATTAACGTTGCACGAACACCCTGAAGAGTAAAGACTGAACAAGATAGTTATCTGTTTACCTTAGTACTCCCGAGTACCCGACCCAGTGCAGGACTCTGCTGTGAAGGTGGAGACATGCGGTGGGGGTGTATTTGCGAGGGGGGAAAAAAAAGAGTCCACATTGCACTCAGGTTGCCAGCACACCTCTGGTTGCTACAGTAATACTGGTGAAACAACCAGATGCTACTGCTAATCTCCAACAAATGAAGTGTGTATTATCTAGGAAAATGATATCGGCCGATAAATGTTAAATCACTTGGATTGGGAATGAGCTGTAGTACCTGGTTGTTACACTAGGTGGCGCCTCTTACTTTTTAATATTGTAGCAACCGGAGGAAATGTGCACTTCAGTGTTGGCAAGCAGAGAGTATTGGGGACGGGGGGGAGGGAGAGTTGTGGGTAATGGACCCCATTGCTGAGACTTCTGTGATACCTCAAAACCTCTGACATGAAATTCATGTGTTTGAGAACAGCTGGGATCAGCTTGGAAAGAGTTCTTATATTCCAGTGGTTTTGTGGCCCAAATTGTGTGTCTTTTTACTGAAACAGCAATATTAGCATCGGACAATGTCTACTGTGCTCTATACCTGTTATTGATAATTGCTTGATAACGCTGTAGATTGTTGATATAAGAAAATTATTCAAAATTTGCATCCTCATCGTCAAGCCACAAGTCGTGGTCTTCGTTAACGACGCGTGTGACGTAAACAAAGATCAGGTTTAGATTAAAGCCAACACCGTGCAATTAAAAAATTCCTTGATCAATCCCAATTTTTGAGATTAAATCAGGAGGACGAACCTCTTGGTTAAATAAGAATTTACAGTGAATCAAAATTTGGCAAGGGGATGAATCATTTTGGTTTTAGCTGGAGCTCATTAAGACCAACTGAGGAAACGTTCTTTAACTGGAAGCACTAGATTTTTTGGGTTGAAGCAAACCAAATGCTGGATATGAATGTTTACAATGCCAGGTTTGGTGAATTTGGTTGTTGAAATTGGATACAGTCTTAAAAAAAAAAAAATCATCTGTTGAGGGACAAACAATTTTTACAGCTCAGGTAGAATGTGAACGTCGATATTCACTGCAGCGTTTCTGTCAACAGGTTCAACATGCTGGCGAAGACTCGTCAGACCTGGAAGCTGGACGGGATGAACACAGCTGAATACGAGATAATCTCACGGCAGTACCTGCCGCTCTACACCAACATTACTGTCTTCATCGGCACAGAGGCCGGTCTGCACGCAGCTCCTCCTCCTCCTCTTAAACCTGCCGGCAAAGCGGAGGCCGAACCTGCAGCCAAACCTGTAGCTGAAGTTCCTGCCAACATCCAGGCAAAAGGCCCCGCGGAACCCGCCGCCAAACTCAAAGAGGGCCCCTCAGAGGAGTAGTGCTGAACTCCCATCAGAACATGCTGTATGATGGCGTCTTTTCTCCTCAGCGACCTGGAGTTTTTCCTCATTTTAAGCTTTTTTCATCAGTAGTTTGTGGAGAATCGACATTGTACTGCCTGCAGGCATCTTTCAGGTGATTGAAACACCCGATTTATTAAAAACAGAACTGACGACTCTCCACTTTGGTTCTCTGAATAGTCTTCCACAGAAGCCACAGCAAAGAGAGACGGTAAAAGTTGGACTCTATGAGTTTCTATATCTACAGCACTGTGGTCGCTGGTTAAACCTTGTGAGGCCTTAGAATTTTTATTTTTGTTGTCTTTTCACTCATACTTTACTTTATGTAGAATCCTGGAGCAGCAGCTTCCAGCGGTCACTGTGCCACAACAGAGTCGGATTTATTTTTCTCATCAAAACCAGTGAAGACAAGTTTGTGTTTGCAGGTGAAGCTGCTACACCAAACACGGAGCTGTTACTACTTATCCCATCTGTTTGACGCTTTCCCACGCAGATCATTATGGTTTGCACTTCAAACATGGACTCGATTTTCCGACAATCTCGGAGGTCTGAGATAATTTTGCCTCTTGTCATATTCAGTGGGAGTAGTATAGTTCGGTTCGTCTGTGTAGTTTTCACATTTCCTTGTGTTTCAGCATATCTAATATCTACAACATCTGTCTGAATTTATCGTTTGTGTATTTGCCATTAAAGCTAGAGCAGGTGTTTGCGACAGCGATCAGTCCGCTGCCTTCAGTTGAACTTGTGATTCACATCAAAATGGAGTCTGTCTGTTATTTTCTCCATAAATATGCTGGTTTTGTAGCGTAGCTACTTCTGTAAATGTACCTGAGGAGTGCTGGCTTTAACCTTCACCAATGAATAGAAAAATGAGTTTCTGCAGCTCCCTGATCACCAGGGGAGCAGCTACATGAGAGATCTTTAATTGCTGTCGATGGAAAATAAAACTGGTTTTGATGTTGTCACAGGAGAACGTTAGCTGTTTACATCCCGTGTTTTTCAGACACATTAAGAACAACTTTATACACTCACTTCAGGTGGTTTTTGAATTTTCCTAAATTGTAAAGAGTTTCATGGGTGATGGGAACATCGTTCCTGAATAAGTTCTGATGTCGCAAACATTTGGTCACATGGCTGATGAGCTGTTTCTGTCTTTGTCTCCAGACAGAATGAAACATGGCCGACACCAGCTGACAGGAAAAAATAATCACAACTTTCCTGATTAAAACCATATTTAAAGCTCTAATTTTCTCTTGGAGATGCACAAAGTTGTTTTGTTTTTTTTTCTGCAAGTTTTTTTTTTTTTTTTTGAAGTTGGCAAACAACTGGTTTTGTTTTGTCTTCTTCTACTCTTTATAGTGCAGCAAATGTAGCCTACAGCGCCACCCTCTGGCGACACGACGCAGCCCAGTTTATTCACTCTAGAGCTGTTAATGAAAAGAAAACAAGAACTTTTTTTGTGATATTTCCAAAAGAGCTGCAACAAAACGCAATTAGTCGTCAACTTTTAGTCATTTTTGAAATAAAAACGGTTTTATTTCGGTGATTACAGTGTCTTAAATGTGAATCTTTTTTAGTTTCTTTCTCTGACAGTAAACTGAATATTGTTGGATAGAACAAGACATTCGTCATCTTAGGAGATTTTGGAAAACACTGACATTTTTAACCATTTTCTAGCATTTTGTTTTTATTTTTTTGACCAAACAGGTAATTGGATTAATGGAGATAACAATAGTTGTAATAATCAGTTGTTGCAGCTCTAATTTCAAAAGTTAGCTTCAAATTCACTCAGCATTTACATGGAAACACGGCTACTGTGATTTTCACACATTTTTATTTCACTTTTGAACATATCCTCCTTTGACAAAAGTCTTGTACTGATTTAATTATTCAAAAGAACAAAATTACATCTGAATTCTTTGCTGTAAAACCGACTGTGAGGTTTTCTCTCAACACAGACGCTGGGTCATTTGTGAATTTAAATCGAAAATCGGAGGTCTGTTACAGATAACTTTAGTATTTGTGAGATAACCAGGAATTAAACTGACTGTGTTTAGTTATTTCATTTCAACTGTTTAAAGAATATTAGTTTTGATGATTTCAGTATCTGTTGACTTGATGCGACTCTGAAAGGATTTTTCTTTCATTAGTGCCCGCACACTGCATGTAGTCTGTTACAGAGGGCAAAAAATGACTCGAGTGTAGATAAATGCAGTTCTGTAGAGAAAGTTACTTAAATTAAGTTTGTGAATTGTGTATTTCCACACATCAGTTCTTTATCACGGCATTATTTTTTTTCTTTTTGTACTTGAGTCATTTTGTTTTGCCCTCTTCAGTTTTGACAGATGTGATTGTGAAAAAGTCCCTTTATCCAGCAAGAGGCAGAAACCAAAGATGAAGGCACTGAAAACTGTGACGAAGGATTTCAAAAAAAAAAAAAAGGAAACATCTTGTGAATGATTTGTTGTAAATCTGTCTTCAGAAATTTCACAAACCACAGGTGATATGTATTTTTTGAACTCTGTAGTGATTTTTTTTTTTTATCTCCGTGGAGGTGTGACAGGTTACCAGTGATTTTCAGAAATACATGTCTGTATACTGTGATATCGTTTTGATGTGAAGACATATTCAGCAGCTCCTTCGGCCTTTAGCAGTGCACACAATCTAACAGCAGCTGTACATCAGGAGTAGATCTGCATGGCAACAAGCCTCTTAGCAATGGTTTGAATATGATGCATATCAGAGCTCATCTCAGCATGCTGAAGTGTGTGTGTGTTGTGAATTGAAATCTGTTACTTTCATTGTAAATGAACCTGACGCTGCGACCCAGAGTCACGGCATTTGGTTCATTTATCTAAAATGTTTGCTTTGATTCGACTCCGTTCTGATGTGGATCATCGCGGGCTGGTACTGAAGCTGCACGGGGCAATGACTTTGTGAGTTATTTTTGCTCTCCTTATGAATTCTGCACAGTCCAGAGTGGCCTTAAATCCATCAATAAAGTGATTATTCAAAATAAATTCTGTCTTTTTGAAAGTTTTTTTGTACGCTCTCTAACCAAGATCTATGTTTATCCTGTTAGTTGACTTCAACAACGCAGGTAATGTCACACACTTTGACTGGTGTTGGAGTTTGGTTTTAACAAACTGAACATCAAACTTTTTTTTTTCTCACTGTCTGCTTGTTTTTCACTCTTGTATTAAGTCCTGCACAACCATTGCTAAAAGTAGAGAGAACTCAGAAATATTCAGCCTTCCGTGACATATGACTCGGTCAGCAATCAGGGAAAAAAAAGGAAATTCTTTGTATAATATGTTAAGTCGTAAACAACGCCACATGATATTGTTAAAAAAAAAAAAAAAAAGCATAGTGTAGCATGTAAGAAAATGTCCTAAAAACATTCTAGTACAGTCCATTTTTAAATATGTCACAGCCATGGTATACTTTGTCATAAAAAAAACTGTTGTAGTATCCTGGTAAAGACTCATAGTATCGCATGTTGAAAAAAAACATCGTAGTATAGCATGTTGTAAAAAACATTCATGGGGTGCTGCTACAGCTTACCATGTACAGGGGCTATAGTCCCTGTACATGGAGGTCATGAGTTTGAATCCCGCTCATGGCCCTTTTCCGCAGGTACTTCGCCAATTCTTCTCCCCCACCTTCCTGTCTCTCTCAACTGCACTCAAATAAAGGCAAAAAGGACAAAAAAATAACTTTGAAACCCCCCCCCGAAAACATCGTAGTATAGCATATTGCTAAAAAACATTGTCGTATAGCATGTTGTAGAGAAACATCATAGTATAGCATGCTGTAAAAAAAATCATCGTAGTATAGCATGTTGTTAAAAAACATAGTCCAGCATGTTGTACAAAAAACAGCATAGCATGTTGTTAAAAAAACATCGTAGTATAGCATGTAACAAAACATTATTCAATGTCCAAAAATATGAATAACATGTCCAATAATAATAATAAGATGCTCCAAAAATATTCATGAAATGTCCCAAAACACAAACAAAATGCCCTAAAATATTTGGAAAATGCTTAAATTTGAAAATATGAATAAATGGCCAAGAAAATGAATAAAATGTTGCACAGGATGAATGTGTGTCTCTGTGTGGTGAAGCGTGTCCGTGTTGTGTTGTTTGTCTCACCATGATGCCGGCGTTGCTGAAGGCCTCGCTGATGCCCTGCAGGTAATCTGGCAGCAGGTCTAGCAGGCAGGTGGCAAAGAAAACACCTCCAGCAAAGCAGCTGATCAGACTGAGCAGCTGCCGACGCACATCTGCAACCCAAGAACATGAACCGCTGCTTTATTCTACAGACAGCTGAACATCTGGGCTGTTTGCCGACACATTTTCACTCACTGTGGACTCATTTTTCTCTGCAACATAAAGTCCTGCAGCTCTGTGGAAACAACACAACCACGAACAGAAGGAGAGAACTCACACATCTGTGCAGTTAGAATGACAGAAATCAGAAAAAGACTGGATTCAACAGGTCCAACATTTGTCCAGGTGTCCACAAATGTTACCAACACTGGGAAAAAAAACGGAGACTCCACATGCTGGACTGTTAACGATTTACATTTTTACAGCCTAGGAGAGACAGTTTTGTCTCCTTTCTGTTGTTTTGCGTCTGTGACAGCTTTGTCTCTTTGTGGTCACTCTGTGTCTCCTTTTTGTTGTTTGCTTCCCAACTTTTGTCGTTTTGCGTTTTGTTTGGGTCGTTTCATGATTCTTATAAAAGAGACAACACAAAAAGAAATAAAGCCATAAAAACTAGTTGTGTCATGATGACAGCTTCAGAATGGAGGCACGTGGAGGAGTGGCAATGACCAAAGAGACACAAAACAATAAGAAAAACACACAAAATGGCTTCAACTGGACACAAAGAAACACAAAACAACCACTCAGAGGCACAAAATGACCTTTAAATGATAAAAAATGATCACAAAGAGATGCAAAACAATCACACATGGACACAAAATGGCTCCAAAGATACACCAAGAGACACAAAATGGCTCCAAAGGCCCACAAAGTCATGCAAAACAACCACAAAGACACAAAATGAACCCAAAACTATTAACTAATGTTAAAATATATATAACAAAGAGACAAAATTATGGTGCGATATGATATTTGATCTGATTTGTGATACAGTGGTAGATTTAAATCAACAACACATTTCTTTGTGGGCCATGACTGTAGAATTCAACATGCATGGTGTAAAATAGTCTGGCCAGACAGGTCAAGGAAGGTGATAAGCAGGCAGACTCAGCAGACGTCTTAAGTGCAAAAAAAGTGAAGAGTTTTTTTTTTTTATAGTTATTTACAGTGCTTTTCCTTTCAGTGAAGTGTAAAAATAACAAGGTAATGCCAAATTAATTTACAGAAAAAATCGTTTCAAAGTTAACTCATACAAAATAATCTCATAGTATGGCAGCACAGCCTCACCTCATTCTGCTGAGGAAGCTAAATCTCCACTCTTTATATAGGGTGCTCCATTCACTCTCTGCTCAGATCAGCTTTACCATTAAACAACATGGTGACTCTTCATAACTTTGAGAAAACCCCAAATATACCAACCTCAACCTTTAACAAATCCCACACTTGAAGGCAGTTCTACATGCCTCCCAGAAACTAAACCTTCACAGTTAATCATGCTTGACGCTAATACGAAAATACATTCATCCAAAAGGTACAAAAAACCCTCCACTAGGTTTGACCCATGTCACTCTGACATCACCAACACCATCACGTCAGGATGTGCTGGGCTGGCCCTCTCCCCCACACCAATCCTGCATGGTTAATCCAGACAAAGGAACAAAGGACAGCAAGCATGAACAAAGAAACTAATGATTAAACCACATTTAACCTGTAACTTAATAAATGATAACTGAAAGTACTTAACGGCTGTGTGTTTTCTTCAGTTTCCCACATGGTTGATGTAAATTGTAATATGGTAATGCAAACAAAACCCGGGATAGTCTGCACCACAATGTTACACTAGCATGGATCAAATTAAAGCAACACACAATGAAACAGTTTGTGGAATGTGTAACAAAAAGATAAGGGACGAGTGGTGAGGAGAAATGAGAGGTTCTCACCCACTTTGTCACACACTGAAGCAGAAGTTAAACAGTCTGTTGGGGAAAGTCTGTTCTCCATCTTCTCTCACTGACCTCAGGTTTCCTGTTTGTGACCATCACTTCCGTTTCAAACTCTTTCAGTTTCATTCTTACTCATCCACAGCAGTACAACGATCACACACACACTGGGTGGGTTCTGCCATTACAGTCTTTATCAGAGCGGGTTCAGCAGTTCACCAAAGTAATCTTCTACCTTCAACCTTCAAGTGACTCATCAGGTAAGTCTGAGGGGTTTTTTGTTGTATTTTAAATTGAAGAATATTTTGTCATGTTTCATAGTTTCATGTAATTCCATAATTCAGATGAAATGATGGTGAATCAGGAAGTGATGTTTAAAACATAAAGTCTAACTTTATGTAGCTGTATGTTACCACAGCTTCCAATCAAAGCAGAAAAATCAGGTTTTAATCACCTCTGATCTGCTGCTTTTTCAGACTGAACAACCTGAAGATGG